AAAATTAAGTTATTTTTAGAATTGTACTGACCAATTGAACATTTTTGTTAATCCGTGTTAGGTTCATAAATATAAACAACGTATTTTTTCATACATCTTTCAGTTCAATTACGCCAACATTTGATTTACCTATTACTCTGCTAGTGATGGAAACTATACGAAATTAACAAGGGTCAAAATCATAGTTTAATATAACTTACAAGGCAGGGTATGACAGCCCTATCTCTAGTTCATTTACAAGTTACATGAAACAGGCGAGCGTGGTACCAGCCTATTGGTATTTCAGAAGATCTGGTTAGTACTTTCACCGTCTACATCGCCTTTGGTATTTGTGCTATGGGAATGGCAACGCCCTTCGCTTTAATGTTTACGCCCGTAACACACTACACCGAAAGCGAAGTGGAACCGAAACAAAATAAAACACTAGCGAAACAGAGAATTCCCTACGATTGTGTTTGTTTCCTCATACACAGCAAAGGGATCAAACACGAAAGCTAGGCTCGCTTTGGTTCTGCAACTACTTCGTATATGTTGTCAGAACTTGAAAACATCTAATACTAGTCTAAAAAGCCAAACATACACTCTATAATGGCTTACTGTTCGTTCTATGTTCGCTTCGCGTTCGCATCTCTGTGTTATAGGACTTATGTTAGACATCGTTCACCATGCCGAAGATACGTCTCGATTGAGTTCGGATTAGCTTGCGCCGTGTCGTAGCCGCGATTTATTGCCAATATTATTTGCTACATTAACTCATATCTGTATTAATGATCTTGTGAAACGATAAACTGTTTCAAGCCCTTGCTATAAGTTATTTTGATGAGCTTTCCTTATATAGTATTGGTAATTTAATACTTTAAGAGAGTTGTAATACTTAATACAGGAAATACTAGGCGTTTAAATAGTTAATACTGTTTTCATTATAATAAAGTTTTCTTAACACCTTAAGCGCCATGAGCATCTTTGTGTCACATAGTATTTTGAACACTGTATTCAAAAGCATACACATTTTTAACACATACCAATAAAAACAAAAAATATTGTGTTTTTTTATACGGTCGCTTTGGGTTTGGCGCTGAGGGTGTTAAAAAAAGTTCTATTCTTTTTTGGTTAGTGTTTTGTCATAATCAACCTTTGTCATAATTTGCAAATGCATAAAGACTAAATTTATACTTCTTATTATTGGCGCATACCTTATTTATAAAAATGTTAAAGTGCGACCTCGGAGGTTTGTTATGTTATCGATGATACACCCACTATTAGTCATTGCCTAAAACATACTATCCAGTTTTTCAAGTTATTCAAATTTATACAACTTGATTGCTGTTTATTTTGCCACCTGTATTGTCATAAATCACATGTGAAACAGGTTTACTGAAGTAATAGACATCCTGATTGTATTTAACTCTACGTGTTCGTTGCTCTTATTTAGGACGTCTTTATTTTCAAATCAATAAGTTGTAATTGGTTACTTTGTTCTATAACTAGTGATGGGATAGCGGATTTTGTACAAATTTCGATGTCGATAGAAATTCAATACTATTCTATCGATATCTATTCATGCATCGTTACATCTCTACGAACATCAGAGCTAGTTGATTTAAATACTATGCGCTGATATTTAACTATCGTGTAAGGCGGGAACGAGATGCCATTATTATAGTGCAGGAGCCATTATCCCTCTGCCCAGCGGTCGTAGTTAGATTGCAACCGTTATACCCGGCTACATATAGAGATTTCCCTCGCATAATCTGAGGGTTTAGTTGCTTTGATGAATACGCATTCCTTACAACGGTGTTAGATAAGTGAAACAGCGTAGAGTGCAATCACAATCTACAAATCTCATAGGTTTTCCTAAGAAATAGTCTGCTAAATGTTAGAATCTCATGATTTTTATCGCGCTTCAAAAATACATGTTTACGTAATGTTGAAGCCCGGAAATTAGGTTTTAATTAGTTTTGTTTTATGTTTACTCGTATTATCAATGTGGTTTTTACCGTTCTCTTTTCCTTTAAATTATACGTTCAATACCTGTCTTTTTAGTTTTAAACTGGAATATTTTTTTTCTGAGTAACATCGTATCCAATTAGAATGTTCTCTATCTATATGTATCGCGTATATAAATGCATTAAGTGTAAAAGTAATTGTGATATATGAGCTCTATTTGTAGAGAAATGAAATTATTTTTTGCCCGTGCTTATTCTTGCTAACGGTATACAGGCAAAGATTCCCGTGATATTAAATCCCGTAGACCGAAAAGGCGTTGCCGATAATCTTTTGACCCTTAATCCCTAGCGAAGCGTAATGGCCGCATATTTCACTGTCTTGCACTAGTCACCAGCCCACATTCTGATCGTGTCTTTAATAGCTTCGACTCTACTAAATGTTACCATGTTTTGTAAAGGTTGAAGGTGCGGCTATTTGTCCATAAATGATTGTAGTCGCGATGACTAATTCTTGCCGCCTAATTGGTATGTTTTTGTATAATTTAATAAGGTTTGCATTAGAGGATGAAGCTAATATTTAATTTTTTATTTGTCTTGGAAGTTTGGATAAATACCAACGCGAGTCATTCACAAACCTTACTGAGAATATTATATGGATAAACATATAAATAATACCACCGCTAATATTAGAGTCCAAAAAACGGTCTTGACAAACGCACGGACGGACAACAAAGTGATCCTATAAGCGTTTCGTTTTTTTTTTCTCCTTTCGATATACGGAACCCTAAAATCAAAGGTTTAATCTAAGCATTTCATTTGGAAAAAAATTAAAAAAGGATGATTTGAGCAAAGAAAAAGCAAAATAAGTGCAGATCTGTGGTCAGGAAGTGATGGTTAAAAATGTAGATTTCTGCTCGCTTTAAGCTTCCGGGTATACTAATTTAATGCTCAATGCCAGCTCGGGTATTGCTTATTTACATGTTGCATTTTAATGTTGTTGCATTGATATCGTATTTAACTGTTACCACGAACATAGTTAATGAAAACAATTATCATAAATTGAATAATATATGTTTACAATGTATAGACGAATTTAGAAAAAAAAAAGTTGCAACCGTATTTCGTTACCAATTTGGATTTAGATTGAATACAAAAGTCAATTGATTACTACTATGCTGGAACAGACTATTTCCTATTTCCTAAAAACGTTGATAGATTACGTTTCATCTTCTAGACTTTCTAGAAAGTAAAACGACGTTGAGATTAGAGATATTTCCACGTTGACATTCGCCTTGAACTAACGACGTCCAAACGATAATGATACCATAATTTCAATTATGTTAATCGAACAAAAAATGTCCTCACATTTCTCTACGTAGATAATGAAATAAGAAATAGCAATTTGAATGTTTACTAACGTATTCAAAACTTTCATCGAGAGGTAACCATTATCTTTTAGTTTATGTGTCCAACTGTCTGGTTTATTTAGTTGGAATACGTAGGAATAAGCACATAGCTTTGCTAGAGCTGTGATAAAAATAAATTTGTACTCAGTATTACAAACAGTTTAAAGTTCTATTGATGTTAATGACAGACGACTATTAAGAACAGAAATCGTAATGTCATTCGACATCCGCAAGAAGCAAAATGAACAGTCATTAAGCCGGCATGGGGTGTCGCAGCGTAGCTCAGCTTGGTCTAATCACGGCCAACGTAACAGGTAATAATAATACGGAATGACAAGGCCAACAACCACGGATCTATCACGCTGCGATGCGATCTCGTTAGGCCGGTATGCACTTGACTGGGCGTTGCAAGATGTCGTTTACCCCCGATAGGAATTTCTTAGATGTTATTGTAGGTCTCTTGTACTATTGTTGCGAGATGTGATTTTTTTATTTCAAGGTTTCTTCATTATTTAATAAAAGTTATCTTTGATTATTATGAAATGAATTTATTAAATTCTTTCTTATGTCTGATAATGAATGTAGATTGTTACCTTAGTCTATTATGGTATCAGCTGTCTATTTTATAAGATTTCAAGGAATATTCTGCAATACCCAAGTAGTTGTACAAATTTATGAATTAGAAAGATTGTGAAATTACGTATTAATTACTTTCCTTTGGTTTCAGGGTTTGGAAATTGTAAATCCTCAAGCAGCCGAGACCCGTGTCAACGAAGCGAATGCCAAATACTTTTCAAATACTTCAGGATTCCTTTCCATTGGGAAGAAGACTACGTAATTGAAGCATTTCAATATTTATAATGTATTAAAGAGTAAAAAATCTGGAATGATTTATTTACACATCAATGATTTAAATCTTACAATCTTACGTACTTACGTCATTTATTTAAAACTTCTTTATCCTAAATTAACAACATGACTTGGTCTCGAAGAAATCTTATCATTATATGCTGATAGCTTACGACGTGACAATACGTTTGCTTTAAATATCCTCAGTTTGCATTTCGTTATTAACCAGATATTACATTCAATGAATACAGAATTAACTAAATATACTAAGGCACTTGTAATATACCAGTATTCAATTATTATAAGAATAGTGGCACATTCTGAAACATTCAATATATCTTGCGGTCGTAAAAGTTGCAGTGCACATTATCTAAATTAGCGTTCAACTTCGTCAGCGCAAATTTAAAAAAAATAATGTACCCGAATGCACTAGCTACCTTACCGACAAAATCAGTCCAGCCGTTCCGGGGACAAACAGACAAGACTTTTAAATATTTCTATTTCGTTATCAACAACGCAAATGCATCGTATGTACGAAATATGAAATTGCTATATTTTTTCCGTACTACAGTAAGTCCAATTTTATTAATATGGGTGTTTTACAATGCGCCTTAACTCATATACCTTCAGCGTCGTACGAACTGAGCTAAATTAAGGTCGTCCGTCATCGGTTGAACGCGTGGGATTCAAACAAACGTAATGCAAGTGTTGAAAAGAGAGCGCCTGCACCAGCGTATTGCCGTCTTCGTCCGACAACGACCGACAATCAACGACTGGCGATCAAGTCCCACATGTTTGGTTTTGTCGGCAGTTTGCCTGCTCTATGCGGCGTATTCGTACATAATTATATAAAGTTTTTAAATTAAGGATCTTACAGTGTAATTTTTATTTGAAATGACCGAAGGTGGATATTTTGATGTCAAACAATTAATACGATGTGTTTACACTAGGCCAGCACTATGGAACAGACATTGTGATAGTTACAATAATAGAAACAAAACAAGAATTCTATGGGAGGAAGTTTCATTAGAGTTGAAAGCGTCTGTTGATAATATTAAGAGAAAATGGAATAATTTGAGAGACCAATTCCGCAAAGAGTACTTTAGGGTAAATAAACCTGGAAAAAATGGTAGTGTAGCCACTATTAAAACATCTTCTTGGTCACACTACGAAGCATTGTTGTTTTTAGCTTCGCAAATTATCCCAAGACAATGCGTGCGCGAATATCCTCCGTCTGAAGTTGACAGCCCGGACGAAGAAGTTCACGAAGATAACAGGTCGTCGTCGCCGTTTGAAAGAACATCGTCAGAATCGAAGTCAATACAAGTAACTTCAGTGAAGAATTCATTGGCAGATCAATCTTTTCGCGAACCCGTAAAACAAGGTTGTTGTTGTAAATCTAAAAAACGAAATCTTGATGACGAACAAGGATATTTAGACGCAGAAAATAGGAAAAGCGAGTTTAATAAGCCCAGACGTAATGATAAATTTGCCGAAGATCCGGATCGGAACTTTCTGATGAGTTTACTTCCTCACCTGTCAGAAGTGCCACGAAATAGAAAACTCATCGTCCAACGAAAGTTGTTAGACGTGTTCTTAGAAGAAGAAACAAGTAAAGAATGGGGTGATTAAAAATTGAGGTCCTATTTTAGAGGATGAAAAAAAAAATGTCGTCCTTAATTTATATTTATATCCAAGAGCTTATATGTTTTTAATTAATGGATGTGATTTTAATAAAAGTTGTTATCTGACCTGCGACACGACCAGGGCCACGGCAAAGTCATAATATGGAAGAAGCTTACGCCCGTACATACCGCCATGGGCCGATACTTCAGTTTTGTTATAAGCCTCAGTATACGGTACCACAAAGGGCTTGACTCTCAAAACTCAGGCGTTATAATGTGATGGGAACTTTCTTAATTTATACCTGCTTTGTTGTCAATGCTACAATATTCTTGATTTAACTTTTTTCAATACATTACAATTTATGTCTTTGTTTCAGAGTACACTAGTACATAAATAAATTAGTTTTACAATTTAGTGTTTTCATTTTACAATCACGCTTGAATTCTTTAAAGTTTATACTGAATATACGAATTGTTCGTCAGTTCGAAGTACCGAGTAGGGTTGAATGACATACAAATTAGTCTCGCCTATCCTTTTTCCGAACATAAAAATACGCTGTAAAAAGTTACCCTCGAGGTTTATTTGTTGTGACATTTATCTAAATAAATATTGATCAGCGGATGTCCGTGACCGTTTCTTAAATTGGATATTTATCTGAATCTACTTGATTTATATTTAAATATCCTAAATGAATAAGGGTGAATATTTAGGAAACAAATGACTGAGTAATAGTAATAAGTTTTAATATACCAATTCTTCTAAAGGTTATCGAAAAAAGGTACCGAAAAACTTGGCGATTGTTTTCATATTATATATATTTCTGTCTCAGTGGATAATATGTATTACTAATATCTTACATAATTAGTAATAATGTATTAGTAGTTATGAATACAATCATCATCATCAGCTCACTATACGTCCCCACCGAGGGGCACGGAGCCTACCCTAAGTTGAGGGTGATTAGGCCATAGTCAACCACGCTGGCCAAGTGCGAGTTGGTTGACTTCACACATATCTTTTTGAATTTCTTCTCAGATATGTGCAGGTTGCATCACGATGTTTTCCTTCACCGTAAGAACGTCGGAATAAATGTACATATGTAAATCGAAAATCGAAAAAACACATTGGTACATGGCGGGATTCGAACCCAGGACCTGCAGATTGCAAGTCAAGGGCTTGACCACTGAGCCACCGACGCTCCTATGAATACAATACAATACAATACAATGAATACAATATTTGTTACTAAATATATTGGTAAACGAAAATCTTATCTGCTATACTATGAGCAGTATACTGCAATAATCCATTAGTTCATGCTTCGTGTAATTAGGGACTATGAAGCTAACTAGAAAAAGCTTTTAAATACATCACTAATGCGAATATTTTTGTTTATGACAATAAAATGAAGCAACAAACGCAACATTATGCGTTACTCAGTTTAATTCGATGATTGATTAATCTATGAGACATTGATGTCCTATATTATTTTTTCCAAAGTAGTGAACATTTTTCAAATAAGATATGACCTAAAGGTCTATGTTACCAGGTCATAAAATTAAAAAAAAACGCTATATCACCTTTAACTATGGGTTTTTACAATTGTGACAACCCACAGCTAAAAACACAACAGAGACGATATGTGTTTGTCCATGTGTTTCGATAGTGAAAATTTGGTTAATATAGATACTTGATAAAATAATGTTGAAAGTAAACATGATTTATCTGTAATTTAATTGAGGTTTTAAGTTAGGTTAATTAAAAAGATGATCCGTCAAGGTATTGTCACTTTGCTTTTTATTCTTTGCCACAATTTTTGCTTTATCACCTTTTACATACATACTTCAAGCTGTAAGAAACATCGTTAAATCTATTCCGTGGTTTTTATTAAATTCAAAGACTTAAAACAAAACGTGACCTTGATTGGATACAATATCAACATGTATAGTTGACATTTTCGTTTGATTATTCAATGTTTTTTTTTCATGACGTATTGTCGACTATTCGTGTACAGATAACGTTCACTTAAAGAAATCACATTAATGACTGATGTAATGATGAAATTTTCCTTTTACGTAATATAATTATTGCCGCCACGGAATGGGTCTCTTAAGTAAGATGAGACAGCATGCCCTATTAACTTCGTAAGTACGTGTTCCTACGTGCAATTGCGTGAATTAAGTGTACCACCTCGAGTTAAACAAGTCCGTTTGTCCGTCTGTTCTGTGTTACATTCAGTCATTCCAGTTCAAGGACAACTTGTTACATTTATCTGTTATTCACAGCTATTATAAAAATACATTGTTTTTCTTTTGCACTGTATATAAATATTATAAATTACTCTACAATTATGTAAAATACGTTTAAAAGGTAAATTAATTTGTTGCATCTTTATTTTTAATTCGGAATTGTAATAAAAATAATTAGAAATGTAATGGAAAAGTTTGATTAAATTAAAACGTAAGTTGGTTTCATTTAGTAGTAGGTGAATAGTTATTTTAAATGTTTGAATGAAGGCAACAAGCTCTTCTTTCAATTTTCTGAATATATATTACGCTATCTTGCCGCTTTCTGCTTTAGCAACGGCTGGCCAATTAGCGGGCCAATTCCATATTTATACGAAATATAAATTGAGCAAGCATTTACATAGAAGATGCATTCTAATTTATTATAGTGAGCTCTTGAGTTTCCATTGCGTTAATTTATCTTACATTCTGTTCGAATAGAAATGCATATAGAATTAGAATTAGACATTTGAAAGCCGTAAGATTTTGTTCTTTTCAATTAGAAATTATATTCAAGGAAGAATTGGCTAAAGAAACAATTCAATCAGTTGATCACCACTTAAATAAGTAAAGAGTAACTAAACTACTAAGTTTAACTTCATAATATCTAATTGTAACTCCATATGCTTACCCGTTCCATGCCTAGTTATGCCATGTGAAGCCAAGTCGGCCATAACAGACCCAGGCATACCATGCCTCGCTATAGCCTAGCTTAGTCGAGCCATATCAGAACCTAGGCTGCACTGTGACTGATATTGTAACTAAACTTGCTTGTAAAATACCCAACCTTCAATTTTTATACGCGCCTTTTCTGCTGACTACTGCACGAGTTGTTTGGAAAGAATAGAGAAAGGTACCAGAATGTCAATTGGTACAGATAAAAAATTTGTTTAATAGTAATGTTGTTTTTATGTAGTTTGAAAATTCTAAATATGAGAGTCGTTAGAATATTGCTTAAAACGAGGTGCACCTTTCGCAGTTGAAACGTGGAGTCGCATAAAGGACGGTCAGTTTTAACGGCTCTAAACGTGCGTTGAATTCAAAAGGCTGGAAAATGCTTAAAGCTATGCAAACGTTTACAGTTCCAGTACGTTCAAGGCAGTTTGGATCGCGTCTAGATCGATTTATGAACAAAAGATTGCGAAAATGGACGCTGTAAAACTGATCAGAGATGCGGTTACGTTACAATGTGTAGATAAGACACACCCGACGAGAAAAGAACGTTAACGGTTCATTGAAATCGAAATATTGAATCTATCGAGTGAGCGCTTCTAGCTTCGAGTCCGAGGAACAGGTTCGGTGTGACATCCCGAGCAGCCGCAAGTCCGTCCGCCGCGCAACCGCGCGCAGTCCTCCGCCAGTCGCTATTGCGCATGCGCGTGCACACAGATCGTGCATGCGACGTGACGCGGATTGGCGCGAACTCGTTTAACTGCCGGCTTGTGACAACATATGATTTAGGAGTGCTTCTTTTTTTTTGCTTTAATGACAGAAACATAAAACATAACAATTGTGTTAGTGTTTGTGTGGACAGATAGCTTCTGTCTGATATGCTGTGGAGAGGACCGACTGTTTAGCTGATCGCAGCTATGGCTAGTTTCGAGGACCTGTCTTTTGACTGGGCTTCGCTGTGTCAGGAGTGCCCCGAATGCTGGACACCTTCAGGTGAGTGACCTGTTATAATGGCAATAGTGGTGTAATGGGTAGTGTAGCAAATCGGTAGAAACATGTCCGTTCAGATTTAAAAGTGCTTAATAAATAAGAAGATTTCAAAGGAATTTAGAAACTTACGACTTGTTTTATATGAAACTAGCCATTTTATTAATATTCTAGTTATAAGTACCTATATCTATTATTACTTACGATATAGAAAACTGTAAATGTTACATGTTAACGTAATTATCCTAGAGATGACTAAATGATTCGTGATGTGTTTGTTTTTACTATTATCACTTTTCGGTTTTGCGTCATGGATTTTATTACTACCTACATTTGATGTTTTGTGAATAAGTTCAAGGACAATTAGTTCATAAGTGTAATACTAGGATGCATTGACTTACTGCTTCTATTCTTACATTAATATGCAAAACGCACCAGTCAAATTAGATTTTGCTTTATTTTCATTAATTCCAAACCTTAATTTTTACCTTTTGATACTTCTTTAGTTTCTGCAAAATTAAAATAATATGCCTGCACCTCATAGAACTGAGAAGATCAGCTTCGGATACAAGTTTCAAATATATTTATTGAAAATGGACGGGTTTTTTGTCATATCTTCGACGATTTTTGTATTTTCATTGATTAAGGAGAAAATGTTTACTAGTAAATAATTATTATAATTTATGACTTATTACAAATTATTACGAATAATACACATAACTTAAAAATTATTAATTATTAATATCTTTCATCGAGTGAAGTTCTCAAATATAATTGTGTAATAAAGTGTACTATTTAAAAATTCATTATTCTAATGAAATGAATATAAAATGCATTAGAAGTCGCTGAATTAAAAACAAATACACAACTAAATGCTATTCATATTAATTCATCAGAAATAATTCATGAGATAGTTTCAAATTTTTAATTCATAATTATGTAAACGTATAAAAATATTCGAAATCAATCTCAGATCTCTGATATCGTAATCAGGAACTGATTGATGTCCAAGAAATGTTTATAATAATATTTTAAATAGATGAATTTAATGACTTAAATCTAACAATGATAATGGCTACCGCATCGAGGTAATATCGCGCCACTGCCTCATATCGATTACAATTAAGTGGAATGATAAAGCTAACAAGATTTTATAGATTAGATTTTATAATCAACTAGCTATCGCCCGCGACTCAATGTGATTAGTATCCTATGTGTTCTTCCTGGCTATGTTCTACATCTAAGCCAAATATCAGCGAGATCCATACATCAAAGCTTTTGCAATTATAATATGATTAAGATATAAATATTAACAATATTTTTAATTGCCAAATGGCATGCTATAATATCGTGTGAATTCAGATTCAGAAAATTGTAAGGACGATAAAGTAATTAGTTTTGTTTGTTAAAATATCCATGTATGTG